GGCTTTAAAGAGAACCCACAGGACGGGCAGCGGGCGAGCGGAGGTTAAAGGCGCTGGACTCCCATGCGGCCACGTCCTGGACCCAGCAGCTTGCTTTCTCGCCTTCCCTCTCTCTGTCTCTCTGCTCAAATTAAATAATAATAAAGAAAGCTAAATAAAATAATTCTTTAAAAAAAGAGAGAGAGAAGCCACTGGACGCTGACTGCCCCACACCAAGCGTGACGGCGCTCAGACTTCAGCGTGTATCAGGACCACGCGAAACTCAGAACCCAGAGCCATGGGCGGGGTACCAGGCCTGTCATTCCTACTGGAGCAACTCCTGACCCTGACCCGCCCTCCCCACCAACTGGGCCTTAAGAAAACTCACAATAAGGGCCCAACAGTCTAGCAGGGCTCGCCGCATGCCCAAGTGAGAAAGGCCCTGGGTTCGTGTCCTGGGACCTCCCTGGGCATGCCAGGCAAGTGACCCGTGCCCACTAAGACTGGGGCAACCCCCAGGGGTGCCTCTGTCCCTCTCTCTCTCATGGGAGAAATAAGTAAACTGAAAGAAAAAAGACTCAACATTCCCTTTGTGGGCAGCTGTGTCCCTTGCCCTTTCCCACCCGTCCCCCACGCCACTGCGGCTGAAGAGCCCATCAACCCATTCCCCCCGAAGGCCTGCCGGTCATGCCAGCTCATACCTGGGCACGGTAACCCCTCTGCAGGAGGAGGGAGGCAGGGCAAGCAGAGCACAGGCTGGGGGGCGGGGGGCGCACGCAGGCTCCCGGCCCCTTCCTCAGCGACTTGCCGGTGCAGGGACACGCAGCGGCCTGCTCTCTTGTCAGCTCGTCCCGCCGATCTGCCAGAGAGCTGATACCCGCCTCGCTCACTCTTGCTCTCGCTTCGTGCTGTCTTGCTAGCTCCCACCCTCCGCCCACCCAGCGCAGACACCAGCTGGAGCAGAGACTGACCTGGGCAGACGTCCCGCCCATCTGGGGCTGAGTGCGAGACTGAGACCAACTTTGGCTTAAACAAGGGAAAGGGTGAAGTGCGATTTGTTCTCAGCATTCCAGTAGATATGGACAGGTATGCGTTTGCAAAGACCTGGCTTTGCTATTTCTGAGCACACAAACGGGCATATCTGACGCATCAAATGTGTTTTTCCCCATCAGTAATTGAAATCTGGTTTGTTCTTTCTCGTGAACAAAACTGCAGCACTCCCAGACTGCATGCGCCCGTTTGGTGCAAGCCCTGAGGAGTGCCGAGAGTCAGAGAGTGTCCTCCAAGTAGTCCACGCAGCAACACCAACCGCCTCCGCCCCCAGGGACCCACCTCGACGCACCAGACCCAGACACAGCCAGAGCCCACACGGCTGGGCCCATGAAGTTCCGCAGCACAGGGTCAGTACAGAGCAGGGCTCAGAAATGCTGATGACATACTCGGGTCCCTCCCACCCAGAGAGTCCACCCCTCTGCACCGAGACGAGGCCACATGCGAGCTGCCTTCACACCCACCACCCACCGTGCGGGCTGTCCTCACCTGTTCTCCAGCAGCGTCATGCACACCACCTCTCGCACCCCGGGGTTGTTGGCCTTCTCCACCGAGCAGCTCTGCAAGTTCCAGGTGGCCAGCCTCAGCACCGGCCGCCCGTCCCGCATGCCACCGAAGGCTTCCACCGAGGGCCGAGTGGAGATAATCTGTGTGGGCCCCCCCGGGGGCAGGTCCAGGTCCTCGCTCTGCAGGCTCAGAGAGGTGGGGCTGGGGTGTGGCTTGGCGGTGAAGGTCAGGCCTCCATTGGTGTGGGTGGACGGGGGCCTGGACCTCTCAGCAAACACCTGTGGCCGGATCCTGTCCAGGAAGGTGGTGTTGATCCCGTCCAAACGCACCAGGTCCTCCACGCTGAGGAAAGGCCCGTGCTCGCGGCGGTAGTCCACGATGCTGAGGGCCACCTTCTCCGTGAGGCCGCGCACACTCATGAGCTGGGCCGGGGTGGCCGTGTTGATGTTGACCCGCGGGGTGAGAGGCACAACTGTGGTGGCCAGGTGGTGAGGCTGCTGCTCGGCCAGCAGGTCCCGTCGCAGCGAGCTGGGCGAGTGCTGGGCGGACCCTCCCTTGCTGCTCACACAGATCTCAAACTTGACCTGCTCCAGCTTGGTGGCACCCACGCCGCTGACCAGGGCCAGGTCCTCCACCTTCTTGAAGCCACCGATGTACTCCCGGTACTCCACGATGCTGCGGGCCACGGCCCGCGTCACCCCCGGCAGCGTCATCAGCTCCTCCTCCGAGGCGGTGTTGATGTTGAGCCGCTCCTGGTTCACCAGGATGTTGCTGAAGTTGCAGGCTGCGCTGAACTTGCGGCTGTGAGAGAGGTCCGAGGGGTCCCTGGGGATGGAGCGGTGGCAGCCCAAGGTGCTGCCCATGGCTGGCCAGGAGCAGGGTGGGGAAGGCCTCACCACAGGATGGGAATTTGCTGCAAAGAACTCCCAGGCTAGGCAGGAAGCCCAGTGGGCCTTACAGGCGGGGAAGACTGGAAGGGGCAGGGATGCTACCGGGGTGACTGTCACAGAAGAACACAGAATCTTCCATGCCAGAGTGGCCTGAGCTGCCTTCCACTTAGCCACCTGGAAAACAGACACATCGATGGGTCGGATCGATTGCATTAGCACTCCCTACACACGCTTGGAGCCTCTAGCTAAGAGTCCAGGCTGTGGCTGTCCACGAGCCCCAGAAAATGCAGACAGTGAGGCTGGCCCACTGTCCTCTGGAGAGGGCCGAGTTTGATCATGCTGGGATCCAACAGCGCTATGACCCGCTTCTCTTAAGAAGAGACCCACTCGCCGTCAGCCTCGGCCTCTCCTGCCGCCTTGCTCAGCTAGGGCAGGTCTGGCATCCCGGTCTTCGTCGCCCCCACAGGCCGGGGCAGAGAGGAGAGCGCACACCTCCGCCTCTGCGCGCCGGATACTCAGCGCCACCTGCAGCTTGGGAACCCCGCGCTCGCCCGCTGGCACCGACCAGGTTTATCACCCCTCCCCCGACCGCCGCAGGTCCCAGCGCCCTACCTCTCTGCCGGGCGTCGTCCTCTTCTACCTGCGGCTCCGAAGCCTAAGCCCAGCTCGGGACAGCACGGGTCCCCTGCCTTCTCCCCTGGGGCCCACACAGCGCAGCTTAGAAGCCGGGCCCAGGACCGCTCCCGCGCTGTCTCGGTCCGCGTCCAGCTCTTTCTGCCGGAGAAACTCAGCGTCGCTCTCTCAGAGCGGGTAGAAGCTGCAGGCTTCGCGGAGGCGACGGCGGCAGCAAAACCCGGCCGCCGAGGCTGCACTG